CCTTTCAGTCATTTTCATAATGTTCCATCTTCATTTGTAATGATCCATTTGTGCACTTCCAACTGTCTGTTTTCTAAATGCTACTGTGGAGAAAATTAAATGGACTACAGGAGTCTGAAGCAGGATGAAGGGTGAGTGCCCTAAAAAGCAGCTTTGTCTATGTGGCAGCTCACAGATATGATCTCAGACAATCTATGTGACCCACCAGCACCCTTCCCCCATGCCTCCTCAGGGGGGCTTTGCTTCACTGCAGGATTAATCTGTCCCACCCTATGGTCCCACCCAGTTCCCTTTCAGAGAAACGCAATATAGTGTATACGTATAAATACACACATTAAATCAGTCAAAAAAAAAAAAAAAATGCGTATACTGTCTTCATAATGTAAGTACTGTTATATTAAATAAGGTTTTGCAAATACTTAGAAATATGGCATGAATAACACAGTAGATTAGTAATTACATTTTTATGTACCATAAAGTATAGTATCATTTTTCAGATAATTCTTTTTTGTAGCAAGTATTTAATATTCAACACTAGATGGCACTATAAATTAAGAATATACCTTGTAAGAATACACTTTTCAGATTAAAATAATGTTCAAATGTTTATGATTGGATATAATATAATATAATATTTACATTTACATATATTCACTTAGCAGACGCTTTTATCCAAAGCGACTTACAAATTAGGACTAAATTTAAAGCGAGTCATCGTGAAGAGGCAAAAACAAGCAAGAAGTGCTCATAATACAAAGTGCAGGCATTTCTCAGAGTAGCATAAACCAGACAAGGAAGGATTAAGGGAAAATATTTTTTATGAGGTTAAGTGCTCACGGAAGAGATGAGTTTTCAGTTGTCTTTTGAATATTGTCAGGGATTCTGAATTCCGAGTGACGGTGGGGAGATCATTCCACCAGCATGGAACCGTGAATGAGAATGTTCTAGAGAGTGATTTTTTGGCTCTCTGTGATGGTACCACGAGTCGTCGCTCATTGACTGATCGTAGGCTTCAGGTAGGGACGTAGTAAGTAGGATGAAAGTAGGAGGGAGCTGAGCCTGTGATAGATCTGTAAGCGTCAATGCCTTGAATTTGATGCGAGACGCGAGTGGTAGCCAGTGCAGAGAGATGAACAGAGGAGTGACGTGGGCTCTTTTGGGCTCGTTGAAGACGACACGAGCTGCAGCATTGTGAATCATTTGTAGAGGTTTAGTTGCACATGATGCAGTCCAGCCAGAAGAGCATTGCAGTAATCCAGCCAAGATATGACCAGGGCCTGGACGAGAAGTTGTGTTGCATGCTCAGTTAGGAAAGGCCTGATCTTCCTGATGTTGTGCAGAGCAAACCGGCATGATCGAGTTGTCTTTGTAATTTGGTCTGTGAAGGTCAGCTGGTCATCAAATATTACTCCAAGATTTCTGACCGACCTTGATGGGGTGATTGATGGTGAATCTAGCTGGATGGCGAAGTCGTGTTGTAGAGATGGATTGGCAGGGAGGACGAGAAGCTCAGTCTTTGCCAGGTTGAGCTGCAGGTGATGTTCCTTCATCCATGCCGAGATGTCCGCCAGACAGCTTGAGATCCGTGCAGCTACTGTGGCATCGGTTGAAATGAAGAGCTATGTGTCATCAGCATAGCAATGGTAAGAGAAACCATGTACCTGTATGTGTCCCAGTGATGTGGTGTAAATGGAGAAGAGGAGGGGTCCTGTGGTCAGTTGATGTGCTTTGGATACTTCGCCTCTCCATGCGACCTTGAAGGTTCTACCTGTGAGATAGGACTCAAACCCGTGGAGAGGAGTACCTGTGATGCCCAGAGATTATCATATCATATCATATCATATCATATCATATAAAAAACATAACTGGTCTTTATTTATTAATAGTACTGTTCTTGATAATATAATATAATACAGTATAATATATTATATTATATTATAAGAAAATATAAGATTATGTAAGATAATATAAAATTATATAAGATTGTTAGCAAGGTTGCAGACAGACAGATAACTAAAATAACAGAAGGTAGTAGCAACACAGGAAACTCAAACAAAGAAACTCAAACAAAGGAACACGGGACTCACAAACTAAAAGTATTTAAAGAATACTAAAAGAAAATAACTGAACATAAGTGTGATATTACGCACCCTCCGAAGAGGTGCAACCTTGCGCAGCAACAACAGACAAGGGAGGGAAGGTGTGGGGGCTCTGGAGATGGGCAAGGAGGCGGCGAAGGGATGGCAAGAGGAGCAGGCGAAGAGATGGTGATAGAAGGCAGCGGAGGGATTGTGACAGGAGGACGACAACAAAACCCCAGCGGTGAAAAAGGAGAGTGCCCCGATGCAGCAGACCCAGAGCTCAGCAGGGCATGACGACAGCCCACGGCGGAGTCGAGGGAGGATATTGCTATGGCCAACGACCGACTGCTCCCAGGGCGCAGACGGAGAGACAATGGTACTGAGCGACATCACTGGCACTGGAGATCTAGGCGAATCCGCGGCGACGAACATCTGAGGTGGAGCCAGAGTGCCCGAGGACTGAGGCGGAGTCGGTGTGACAGAGGACAGAGGCGGAGGTGGAGGGAAGGAAGAACCCGCTGTAGTCATGGGGGCGGAGGGACTGAGCGCAGCGCAAGGCTCGCAAGTCCGCGGCGGAAGTAAAGTGATGACTGACCAAGGGGGAGCCAGTGGGACGAGGGAACACAGTGGAGCCGCAAGGTTGAGGGTGTCTGGCGAAGCCGAAGGTGGGAGGAGCCAAACGGAGCCGACAGGTAGAAGGGCCGAGGTGGAGCGAAGCGATTAGAGGCAAGAGGCGGAGCCACAGGACCCCTCTCGCTCGGGTGAGGCTGGAGATTGCACGACCTGAGGCTTTACGTCGCAGCAAGGCGTTTCTTTGGGATGACGAAGGGCTGCAGGGATCCAGCAGAGTGGGGCTGGAGGACTGGCTGAGCTTTGCGGTGAAGGTGACAGAGTAATTCCAATTTCCCGACAGGTCAACGAAACAGTTAGCCTGACTTCGTCATATTCATATTCTAGTCAGAATGTGAGTCTGATACTGCTCCATATGGCTTTGATTATGAGGCTGTCTTAACCGAACCAGAAAAAAAAAAAACCTCTGCACTCAATTGGATAGACCAATCAGAGCAACGCAGTAAGTGTTTTTTACTGCGAAAGTTGTCAACAGAACTCAACTACACGCACGCTGGAAGAAGTAGTAAAATAATGAGTGTTGCTTCTTTTACTTGGTCCTCCATGAGTGCGACCAAAGGAGAAACCACAACGACCACAGGGTTTTCATTGCGTCCCATCTTCTTAGCGACCATCGGAGCCAGCTGATAAAATAAACTTTTGCCGAATCCCGTAGGAAGGACGGCAAACACATCTTTCCGATCGACAAATACCTTGATTGCAGCTCTCTGTTCGTCTTTTAAAATGAATACGCTGTCGATTTATTTTTACAACAGACGCGATAGCGGAATCTATACATCTCAATTCTCCAGCTGCAGTCACCTCTGCGGGAAACCAGTTCAACCCAAGCGCTCTTTGATAACGTGATGATTACATAACTGCAGATCATCTGTCCATCATCGTATAAAGCCCGCCCTGGCAATTTGATTGGCCCGACTGATTCTGAACCGATCATAATTACTCCTCAATGGATCGAGTCCAGACCGAACTTCCCGACCAAAAAATGTTGTGGGCAGGGTTCGGGCTGGCATCCAGGCTACGAAACAGTCTTAGTGCTGTCTTTAAATAGTGATGATTTAGAACAGACAGATAATACAGGGTGGGACAGGGTAGGAGGTAGTACCTCCATGTCCAAATCCATCAGCCGGTCCAATTCCACCACAATTCGCTCTGCCACTGATGTCGCTGGCTCACAGACTTGTCAGACTAGTGATGGATTTTTTAAATTAATCATAACTAACATTTATTTTTCTTGCAGGTATAACATGCATATGCTTTTGAATACTAAATGTTTCCAAACCCTTTGGTATAAACTTGTGACTGAGTGTGTGTTAGTGAATCATGTCTGGATGTAACAAAAATGGGAAATTAAGACAGATATCTAAATTTATAAACTTGTGATTAAAGAACAAAGTGAAGCAATTAAGAAAACAGAGTTTGCTTCTACCTAGTAACAGAAGGGTTTGCATATGAAGATTCCCTGATATGATTGTAAAGCGCTTTGGGTGTACAGTACATATGAAAGCGCTATATAAATGCCTCATTCATTTAAATGTATAAATGTAAATTATCATAACTGCCCATAACATAGGGTAGAGTGGGGGAAACGCTACTAGAAGTAGGCTATTAGAAGTATTCGATGTAAAGCTTACACTGGTGAAGTACCTGAGAGAACTAAATATTTTGTTCTTCAGGAAAGACATTGGTTCTAGTTCTTGAAACCATTGGCATCTTGTGCGCTGCATTGTGTAGGATGTGGTTACAGACAGTGCAAAGAAAGCAAAGGAAAACATAGCAAAGAAAATCACTACAAAGATACAAAGAATCACACTCTTGCAAAGATTTTAGATTTGAAACTTGGAGTACTACGGAGCCCCGCACATTATATGCAAGAAAAAAAGTTAATTGTGCACAAGATTGACTTTTAACTGTTTTTTTTTTTTAACTGTGGCGTATACAGTTTTGAGCTGTGTACATCTGTCTGTGTTCAGAAATTATTACACTATATTAAATGTAAATAAGGTGAAAACAGTTATAAATAGCTAAGACCTTAAAGGGTTAAGGAACAAACAAGTTGGGGAAAAAAATGCACCAGAGCAGAGGACAGATTTTTTTCTCTCACTTGCTCACTCTGGCTTTCTAGAGAACCCTACACATTCACCGAAGCACTATAAAAGGTAGGCTTGAGAATGATCTATCTACATAAAAAAAAAAACATACTTTTAACAACTTTGAAATTTTTTGTTGTTGTTTATTGGATTACTTAAATGTTATTTGACACTTTAACTTCCTTTCTCTTCTATCTCACAGCTTATGAAAAAAAAAAATCCCCATCTCAAAAATGGTAGTCACTATTACTCCAACCATCGAATCCAACTTTTCAAGCTTTGGCAGGAATGTAAACACTACCACTACAAATGGCTCTGCATTCAGTGACAATCTGGACATGGTCGTCCGCTCTGCCTTAATTGTCATTCTTTTTATCACCATGGTGTCTCTTGGTTGCACAATGGAGATATCAAAGATCAAGAATCATCTCACCAAACCCAAAGGGGTGGCGATTGCAGTTGGGGCTCAATTTGGTATAATGCCCCTCACAGCCTTCTGCCTAGCAAAGGTGTTTCAATTAGGTCCTATGGAGACCTTAGCTGTGCTAATTTGTGGATGCTGTCCGGGAGGAAACCTCTCAAACATCTTTGCTCTGGCTCTTCAGGGAGACATGAACCTCAGGTAATTCTTGAGACAATAAATAGGCCTACTGTCCTATAGTAAAACAAGGAAAAAGATTAGCTTAACCTTATTGAGAAATCTCCTGCAAAAAAATGTCCTTTTAATCGTTTGTTTAGCCAATTGAGCAATAACAGATCACTGACAATCAGCAAATCAGGTGGGGTTTTTTTTTAGCCCAGATGTTTGCATAAGTGTTTGCATAGTGTTCCTTGTGGTACTTGGAATTTGAGTTTTATTTGTTAAACCTATACAGCATTTTTATTTAAAAACCCTCAAAAAATTAAATAATTGCAGTTAATTTCATTATTTACTGTAGCACTCATTCCTATTCCGATTTTGAGGAAAGACAAACCAAAACAGGATGTTTTTGTCACTGATCTACTGCAGCTATCCCTCCAATGCTTTTCTCATTAAAGTTTCTATAATTATATTTCATACTAACAGAGCTTTCATCTAGGCCAGGGGCGTTGCTAGACATTAAGCTCTACTGGGGCACAGGCCCCCCATTGTTTGTCTGAGATAGCAAGCGTAACTAAGGAGGGCGGGGCTTACCGATAGATAAATTAAATTTGTTTGTTTCAAAAACACCATGCTGGGTAGTAGAGTAACTTAGGGGGGTTCCGGGGCATGCTCCCCCGAGAAAATTTGGATTTCTCGGACCTACATATGTGCATTTTAAGGTGTTTTTGAATGCCAACAAATTGGATAACAATAGCTTTAAAATCATGTTACACGATTTTTTTTTTGTGCCATAAAAGGCAACACTGTATGAAAATAGAAAACTTTAGAAAATAGAAAACGGAGAGAAAACTTTCTTGCACATTTGCATTCTTCTACATTACACAATGTTAATAATGAATAATTAGCCTTTATATTTTTCAAGAATTTACAATTAGATCATTTCAATAAATCAATAAAGAGTTTATATATACTATATAAAATAAAGAGCATGTATATTCTAAAAGAAAACAAAGTTCCCCAGCCAAGTCCAAACTAAGTTGATTTATTTGTTGAGCATTAAACTGTAGGCTATACCGCCTATGCTTCATTTTGGCAAAACGGACAACGGTCAATCACTTGACTCTGACTCAATTTTACTTTTAAGATTATTTGTATTATTTAGAAACTTTTGTTTCGTCATGTTTTCATAGCCTACCCACTGATCTATATAGAATGACTGGATAGCTCATGACGTCATAAACAGTGAAGCCACCACGCCTCCGTATGATTCCCTAGTAAGCGCACGCGTTCTATTGAAATTGTATGATTTGACTAAGAAAACATTGCATAACGAGACACCGTCTTTAAATCTAAAGTCTCCCTGAACAGTCTTACAAAGCAAACATCCTAAGCATTTAAATGGGTATTTGTTTAAAGTCGGAAATTATTCCTGCTTACTAAAAATTAAGTATATGTGAATTGTGAACTTAAAATTTAGCTCTTTCTAATTGTGTTTTACAGATAGATCAGTAGTCTGTTCAACTATTTGATTAGTTAGCAAGAATATGTCCAGGAAATGCATAATACAAATTGTATGGGTTAAAGGGATAGTTCACTTTGAAATTAATTTTTGATATGTTTTAGCTTACCTCCAGTGCATCCAAGATGCAGGTGTCTTTGTTTCCACAGTATCTTCAATTTTGATAATTTTAGGTAAAACCGTTGTTGTCTGGCAGTCATACAATGGAGGTGAAGGGGGTCCTCCTCAAAGAGCAGTCAAAATTAAACATTATTTAATGACTCGTAAATGTAAGTACACATTGATGCCCTAAGACACGAAACGAGTGGTTTTTGTGAGAAAACGAACAGTATTTATATTGTTTTTACCTCTTGTAACCACAGCCATGCCCAAGTTATCTGAGGGCGCGGACGCTTCCGTGTGTGACGTGTACGCAGACTGGTGCATAGAAATATATACCCTAGATGTCGCCTTGGCTAAGGTTTCGTTCCAATGAACTGCCGTCGCCAAGGCGACATCTAGTTAATCTTTGCACCAGTCTGCGTACACGTCACACACGGAAGCGTCCGCGCCCTCAGATAACTTGGACATGGCTGTGGTTACAAGAGGTAAAAACAATATAAATACTGTTCGTTTTCTCACAAAAACCACTCGTTTCGTGTCTTAGGGCATCAATGTGTACTTACATTTACGAGTCATTAAATAATGTTTAATTTTGACTGCTCTTTGAGGAGGACCCCCTTCACCTCCATTGTATGACTGACAGACAACAACGGTTTTACCTAAAATTATCAAAATTGAAGATACTGTGGAAACAAAGACACCTACATCTTGGATGCACTGGAGGTAAGCTAAAACATATCAAAAATTAATTTCAAAGTGAACTATCCCTTTAATGTACACTGCACACGTCAGCGGCGCGTTACAGCTGCGACACGGCGATACCGGAGCTGATTGCGCCCACAAATCGGCAAATCACGTGGAAATGCTCCTGGTGTGAGTTGACACAGCGTGAAGGTAGGAAAAAAACATTGTCGGAACCGTAATGCGCCGCAGATGTGTGCAGTGTAAATAAGGGGTTTACACATAGGCCTACTCCGTTTGCATTGCATATTTTTTTTTACCATACCCACCGTGGTCCGGGTATCGTTCGTTCATTTGTTTCTGCTTTCATATGTGAAAACGAAAAAAGTAGAAAACAACTCCTTTTTTCGTTTTTTCGTTTTATTTGAAAAACGAAAAAACGAAATTATGACTTGATTTTTGGTTTTCTCGTTTTTGCACGGAAATCAGAGAAACCACTTGATATTCCGATTTCCCCCTGTGGGTGGGGCTAAATCTGATTGGCATGATATGCATTCATTGTTTTTCAAATTAAGAGTTTTCCAAACACTGTATTTGTTAGCCTGTAAAATGAATAGTCTATATGCATGCTATTTGTCACCCAATTATTTGGCTTCACTGACTGAAAAAATCTATTGAAATAGCCTCAATTCAAGCCAGTGTTCACGCACTGACAGTTGTCATTATACAAATTTAAAAAATATACATTTATTCTTTGTTTTAGATGTTTTTATTAACTTAAATACTCATGAATAATATATTTTTTATATTTCTATTTGTTATGTATGGCCTGTATGCACATACAGGACTTAGGGGGTAAGATTTAGGGGGCTGGGAGCCCCTGGGCTTGAGTTAATGTTTGGGCCCTACAACATCATGACGGAGTTGCAAATTAGACAAAAATGTAAATATGCTTTGAGGTTCCTAGAACAAGTAATAAGCATGCCTATAGTCAAAGTTTAGTGGTAGGCTAATATTACATCTCATTATAATACAATATAATGCAGGATCATTGTCATATATTTGTCCTCTTATGACAGATTCTTACATTTAGTCAACAAATTCGAACAGAATGCAAAGACATGGTGTATGGCTACTATGACCAAATAAAAGAAAGTCGGTACCAATAAAATACATTTTTGGATTGACACAGGCTGTTTAGACATGGCATGATGATTTACACAGCAAATTATAATTGCATAAATTATGTTAAGAGATTAATGTTTTAAATGTAAAACAATTGTAGGTAGAAATATGAAATGATTGAAAAAAAAAATGAAACGTCTACTTTTTAACTATGAAACTAACACCGCCAGGCGCCAGTAGGTGGCGGCAAGTCTCCATCTTAATGAGGGAGTTGCATCCTTTATTCAAACGAGTCGTTTAAAAATCCTAATTCGCTTAACCTAACAAACGACTGTATTTATGAATGGGTAGTCTACATGAATCATTTACTCGTCTAATTCTGTAAAAAATGCAGATATTTTGAGGAACAAAACCATAGAACAAAACTCGGAGGCGCAGCGGTTCTGCTGTTTATTCTGTTTTGTTGGACGGAGCAAAAAAAGAATGTAGCCTATCTATAAAAGTTACTCAGTAACTTTATTGAACTGTTGTATCATTTCCCATTTGCGATTGTGCAGATGTTCAGAAAATCAGCACTTCTGCTGATGTGATAACTCACATAGGCACATTTTTTTTCCGTTTTTTTTTTCCATTTTGATGATAGATATAGGCCTATGCTTATTCTATTGTGGTGGCAGTGGAGAGAGCACTCAAACCCCTCGAGAGCACATCATTTAGTGAACAAATTTATAGAAATAATAATTCTCTCTAAAGCAATGAGACGTGAACATAATATTTTTTTCTAAATGTGCGCTCTTTTGGACTAAAAGCGCTCTTCATTCATTCCTCAATAGAATAGTAAAAATCAGCTTCATTGCACCTAATTATTATTATTATTATTTTTTTTATTTTTTTTTGTTATCGCGCTGCTCCCCCGGGGAAGAGGCTTATGTCGCCAACCGACGTCTAGATAGGCCTACAATATGAAATAGGATATTGTTCTCGTTTTCTGGCCTAAAAAAATATATTCTGTTTACCATAGTTGTAGTTTTTCGTCCTTACTGTTAATTGACATTAACCCCGCTTACATTTCAAAATGCGGCAATTGCTGCTGTTTTGCACAGTATCCATTTGCGCCACCTGGAGGTCATTTCGCGAAGTAGCCTACTTGAAATGCGACTGGTTTATTTTTTCTGCGGCGATAATAGGCATTCTGGTTGACTACTGTAGGTGTTTGCCAATGATTGTCTTGAAAGGCATCCTCTAAACTGTAGTGAGCATTAGTATAGGGAAGGCAAAAGTAACCTATATTGCGATGGAATGCAATATAAACAATAAGAAGGGCCTTCTCTCTATTCTGCCTTTTGTTTGATAACCACCGTGACAACTTCAATGCGTGAAAATGTTTACATTGAGGCTATTTCAATAGATTTTTTCAGTCAGTGAAGCCAGATAATTGGGTGACAAATAGCATGCATATAAACTATTAATTTTACAGGCTAACAAATACAGTGTTTGGAAAACTCTTAATTTGAAAAATAATGAATGCATATCATGCCAATCAGATTTAGCCCCACCCACAGGGGGAAATCGGAATATCAAGTGGAGCTTTCACTGCTCGCGGATGCCCGTC